CACACACACACATACTCTCGCCCTGCTTCCGTCCTTTTAGTTCTAATGAGAGTTTCACGGAATTTGCAAAACAAACAGGTGATACCGGCGCCTAAGATTCGAGCTAGTGTTATTATTCTTAAAGAGTCAAGTGCAAAGAACAGGAAGGAGGAGAGATAAAGACGATGAGTGTCGATAAAAAAGAAAAAAAAAACAAAATTCACGTCAGAACCCGCCAGCCACCACCACTCAAACGTCAGGAATGATATTTGAATGGTTGGCTGTAATAATCATTTATATCCCCCCCCCCTCTTTTTAAAACCATGTCCAATAAAAAAGAAAGAAAAAAAACAAAAACAAAAACAAAAGAGAAAACAAAGACATAAACTCAAAACCACCAATAACACACACACAAAATAAATAAATAAAAGCTCACCTGGAAGGTAGGCGAGCAATAGGGGAGGGAAGGGGGGGGGGGTATATACAGTCTAGGCTTATATTGTTTGGCTACTTATAGCCATATTAAATTATTATTATGGAGATACTTTTCTTCTTAGTTAAATACACCCTATACTTTGCAAGTGCTTCTTTGGGCTACATATTATAACCTGAATAAGGCTACCCTTTTCATAATTATTAAGTGGAATTATGCTTTACTTGAGGATTAATTATATGTGTCAAGTAGGCTACGCACTAGGTAAATGTTCTACAAATGTTGAAATAGAATCCAAGGGTAGCCTTTTATCTTTCAAAACATAAAACAAGGTTGTATGTTTATCGAGTAAAATGAACAATATCTCACATTTACACTGACAAGCAGACAAATAGATGACAGAAAGATAGATGGAATGATAACGCTCCCCACCAGATCTTTACTCCAAGTCGCTCCACACACATACACACACAAAATAAAACAACACACACGGCATACTCACACAGACACACACATAAACACACATGCACACACATATACATACACTCACACACACTTTCCTACACACACAAACACACGTGCATACACCCCCTCCCCCCGCACACATACGCACCAGTAATAATAATTTAGTCACTGCCGAGAAAAAACAACGCAACAAAATAATAATAAGCTCACGGAAGTTACAGACGGACAAAACTGATAAGAATGAAAGAGGCCAACTTAAAACTATTTTTGACGGCACCTCAAAAAGCATCATCTTCGCTTCTCGTCTGTACGCAGACCCGAAGACGTAGAATATGAGCAGTGGTAGGCAAAGGCTGGCCATGTTAACGAGCTCTACGAGGAGTAAAATGTCCATGCGGCTCTTTGCCATCTCGTAGAAGGCGAGGGCACTTCCGGACAGGTAATGCGCCACCTCTGTTGATAGGAGCAGGTCTCTGGGAAGTCTCAGCAGAGTGTACACTACGATCAGAGCCACTGAAGACATTATAAGCATATATATATATATATAAATGTAATAAAAGATGGGGTTGTTTGAGGTGAGGGGTTGATGAGGCCAACAATACATGGGTTGCACGGGGGGTAAGGTTATTGTCATTGTATGCAGACGGTTAGAATTCAAATCCCGCTTGGGAAAGATAGACAATTTAGTGTTTCTGTATTTCGACGTCGAGACTTTCTCAACCATCCCATGTCTATATCTTAACAGATAATATGGTCAAATCAGTCTGCGTCCAAAAAATCAAAATATTATGTGTCGTAAGGTGTACTACTATTACTAAAACAAGTGCAACATACCAACCAACCAAAAACCAACCAACCGACCAACCAACCAACCAATCAACCAACCAGGCAATCAACCAACCAACCAACCAACCAACCAACATATCAACCAACCAACCAACCAATCAACCAACCAAGCAATCAACCAACCAACCAACCAACATATCAACCAACCAATCAACCAACCAACAACCAACCAATCAATTAATCAATCAATCAATCAATCAATCAATCAATCAATCAATCAATCAACTCACCAGTCATGCCAGTGACAGAGGCGACTCGGATCTGTATATCCTCCTCGTCATCAGTAATGGTGGATTCACTCAAGTTTAGGGACTCTGACCTCGTCATGGACGACTCGCCGAATACTGAGATTGGGGAGGGTGGGGTCAGGCCCAGTGTGTGTACATTGACACACACACACACACACACACA